GCCCCTCCCAGGCCTCTCCCCATGCAGGGTGGACAGCTGGGCATGCTCAGAGCTCTGCCCACTGGGAGGTTCCTACTCCTGTCCTCCTTGAGGGCCACCCTCCAGAGACAACCGGCCACGAGTTCTCACGTGGCCCTGTAGTCAGCTCCCAGGCCAGGGAGGGAGTTTTCCCCCATCATCAGCTAAGCAGAGAGGCCCCTCCCTCCGTGAGGCCCTGAGCATGAGTTGAGGTGCTGGGGTGACAGAGGCTCTTGGGTCTGGACCAGGTGCTCTGGTGACAGAGGCTGAGGTTCATGTGCCCTTCTGATGCCCTCTGACCTGGAGGGCAGGCCCATGACAGCTATGTGGGTGCCAGCCCAGGCTCTTCACCCAGCGACCCTCAGAAGACCTGGGCATGTCTCCTTCCCAGTGTGCCCTTGCTCTAGAGTCTGACGGGCTGGTTCCTCCTGTCTTTCCAGGCCGGCCTGCCTGGGAGGCTCCCCCCTGCAGACAGCAGGAGGGTCCAGAGGGCTCCACACAGCACCCAGGGACAAGCACATGGCTCCAGGCGGACCTGTTGGCATCTGGGTCCTAGGCTGCACAGCTCCTGCCAGGTATGCTCTGATGTGGACTGTGCCCCGCACCTGCCCTGCCAGCCCCACTTACTCTTCTCTGAGTGTGGCACAAGGATCCCTGTAGTTAGTGCCCACAATGGCCCCACATGAAGGAGTCTACGGGTGAGGTTCAGCAGCTCTTGGATGGGCAGTGACTGGCCCAAGGTCACGCCATCAGGAGAAGGGGGCAAGTGAGGGAACCCCAGCCCCTGGCTCCAGTGCCAAGCTCTTTCTCATGCTTCATGCCACTTGCCCAGGAAGCTGTGGGTGCCAGACACCAGGGGGGCACCAGTGGCCCTGTGTCACACCCTGACTCTTCAAGCTGCCACCTAAAGGCTTGTGAGGGGTGCTCCCCACACAGAGCCCATGTCCCTCTTGGCCAGTGGGACCAACACTGGGGCTTCCCGGGGGCTGGGTGGGGGGTCTGACGGGAGCTCCCCCACGTGAGGGTCTGGCACACATCCTGGCCAGCGAGCATGCTCAGCGAACGCACATCACTTCCGTGGACTGAGCACATGCCCACACACATGTGATGTATGTGTATGGGTGCACAGTTGTGGTGCGAGAATGCCAGGTGGCTGTGGTGGGCATAAATACATGGCCCTGGGGCTAGCTAGAGCCAGGCCCCTGGTGCGTCCTCACCCTGAGCCAGAGGCTGAGAAGCCAGCAACACCCACACAGTGAGATCCTGGCCACAGCAGTCATGGCCTCGATGCCCACGCCCTGGGGTCGTGTGATGGGTCTGTGAAAGCACAAACAGACCCCTTCAGCAGGTTGGTGGGGTGAGGGCGCCCCCCACACTGGGTATAACCCTGCTGCTCCAGCCACTGGAACCCTGCGGAAAACCAGCTGACAGGCAGCTTTCCTGATCCCTAGCTTGGTTATGGCTTACGTACGGCCCCCCAGGCAGCTGGCTTGCGGGAGGGACTGGCTTTATAAATAAAATTTATCACTGTAATACGGCTCCTGTAGAGAGCTGAGGACTTTTATGGCCTCCTGGAGGTCATGAATAATTTAGAAGGAAGAGGGCAGCTTCTGTCGGTGCACAACGGGCCCAGAGGTTCCTATTATCACAGCAGGGGAAGGAGTGGCTGGGGCCCCACAGCCTCGTGCTGAGCGGAGCAGACCAGGAGCACCCCATCCAGCCCCTCCGCCACTGCCAGGCTCCGTGGGGGGACACGAACTGGGCACTCCACCTCCTGAATAAGGGCTCTGGTTGGGTGACAGAATGGCCAGACGTGACCCTGACAAAGGGGCCAAGCTGAAGTCCGAGAATGCAGGCTATGGGCTCGGTAGTGACGGGAGCCGACTCTGCAGGGCCGGGCCGTGAGCAGAACCCCAACCTGCAAACCAGAAGAGGCATCCCCGCCCCCAACGCCAGGCAGCTTCATGGCAAGACACCCTGGTGAACACGGAGGCCAGACACAGCCTGCTGAGTGCTGCAGGCCCCCTTCCCCTCCCCCAACCCTGCCTATCAACCCCAAGTCCTACGGAGCCCTTCGAGTCCCCACAGGCAGGTATCAGCCCTTGTTTGCCTCCAGTGACAGAGGACTCAATACCTCCCTGTAAGAAGTTCCTCCCTTGTAAGCAGTGCCTGGTAGAAATCCCCCCACCTTGCCACCCCCATGAAGGGCAGCCTGCACCTGGGGACCCCCAGCACGAGCCCCTGTTCTGGGGCCTACCCTGATCATGCATCCTGAGGCCTGTACACTCTCTGCCTTCCCCTCCCCCTCTGTCCTGAATGCCCGACCCTCAGGCCGGCTCTCACCACACCACTAAGGGGCTCGGACCAAGCCTCCCTGGGACCCCCACACAGCAGTGACTTTCCACTCCTGTCCTTCTTGGCCTGCTGCTGGCACTGGGCTCCCACCCTAGGCCCCAGGACCCCACAGGCCCCCGTGCTCCTGCCCACCTGGCTCTCCCCATCCCAGGGCCCCCCACCTCACCCCCGCAGCCCCATGGCTTTCACTGTCATCTCTGAGGTGGCCAGTTCATTTCTTGCAGCTGCCATGACAAAGTGCCACAGACAAGGTGACCAGGGCAACAAAAAACAGCAGAAGTGTATTTATCCCAGCAGGGACACAGACCTGTGACAGGATGCATCCAGGCCACACATGCGGCAAGGCAGGCGTGTGCCTGTAGACCACTTCCACCCCCCGCCCTGGCCTCTGCAGCCAGCACAAGCTGGAATCTGGCCCAGAAGTCGTGTCCCAGTGGCGGGGAGCCCCATCGGGCCGCAGGACTCACTCTCCAGTCCCTGTGCCCACCTGTTCCCTGCAGGGCTCTCTGCGTTCCAGAAAGGCCTCAGTCCCGGAAGTCGGGCCAGTGCTGGGAAGGGGGTGACGCCTGGAACCGTGTCAGTGTCTGGCAGCGAGGCCACCGCCATACTCCCCAGCTGCCCACTGGAGTTGCCACCTTGCTGAGCCACAGTCGCCCTCCCGGACCTCAGAGGGCCATCAGCCTCAGGCGGCTCATTTTGTGGGTCAGGCTCATGTTAGGTGGAACGTGATCTGGGTGTGCGTGATGGCTCTGCTGGGGGTGGGCCCGTGAGTCCAGAGGAAGTGCATGACCGCAGGGCGGGTGGGCCGAGCCCACCCAGCCGGGGCCCTGAACAGAACAGACGGCTGGAGAGGAGAACCTGCTCCCTGCCCAGGCTCTCGGGCCCGGATGGGTCCTCTGCTTTGGGATTCAGACAGGGCCATGCCACTGGCCCTCCTGGGACCCCTCGGCCTCCGTGATCATGTGAGCTGGATCCTTACCGCAAACGCTCACACACATCCCCTTGGGCGTGTTTCCCCAGAGCCCCGGTCACTGCAGCCCCGGCCTTTCTCGTTGGGTTTCACAGCCCTCAGGACCACACTGCCCTCGGGACATCTGCTGTCCTGAGGAGGGCCTGGCACAGGGCAGCGGGCATGAAAGGTGAACAGAAGGAAGGGTGGACGGGCGCTCTAGTCACCTCCAGCTTAAGGAGAGTCAGGGCCCCACAGTGCCGCTCCCTGGCTGTACAGAGACCCGCCTGCCTCCTGGGGGTACCAGGCCGAGGACCCTCTGAGTACCCCCCGAGGCCAGCCGCACCTCATCCTGCAGAGAACGGCACGTGTGATCGGATGAGGTGAGAGAGCATTACCCAGCTGGAGCCAGCTGGCAGAGCTGCAGGCCTGGGCATGCTGCTGAATTCCTGAGCGACTGCTCTGAGGGCGGCGCGACAGCGCACTTCCGGGGACAAGAGCAGGGATGCAACTGCCCCACTGCCCGGAGGGGATGCAGCTGCTCTCCCGCCGGTGGGGGCGGCACCAGCTCCCACTGTGGACGGCAAGCCAGGTGGAGGTCACCACCCGGCCAGGACAGCTGGCTCCAGGACCCCCTCTGCCCCAGCCCTCCTCAGCAGTGCCCCTAGAACAGAGCCCACTAAACTGTGTGGGAGCCAACCACCCACCTCCAGTTTCATGAACGAAGGTGAAGAGGGCGTGGCTGGAGCAGCCACGCCCCTCTGTCTCTGGTCTGCGGCTGCCTCCGTTCTGGGAGACCAGTTATTAAGCAAGGCCACGGAGCCTCAGGCACAGACCGGACCACTGGTCCTTTCCAGGACGGCTTGAGCCCTGCCCGAGTGCAAGGAGGCCGCGGGGAGCACGAGCCCCAGCAAACCCCCTGGCAACTTCCGCCCAGAATGTGTGCCCCTCATGGGTGCCAGGCCACTGTGGCCATGCTCGGCCCTCAGGGGACTTCTGCTCACACTGCCCCATGCAGCCCTGCACACCCTGGGCACGCTGGGGCATAAGGAGCATCTCCCCACTCCTGACAGAGGCATGGGGCAGGGGTCTCTCCACACCTCCTCACGAGCCCCTCCAAGTGGGGGTCCCTCCACTGGGGATGTGGCCCCATGCCTACAGCTGCCCACACCAGCCTCTTGCAGACCTGACTCCATTGGTGCTGGGGGGGCACTGAGGCTGGGTCAGGCCCCCACCTCCTGGCTGTGTGACTCCAGGCAAGCTGCCTCCCCTCTGACCTGTACTTTCCTCATCTACAAATGTGGGGCCCCTGCCAAACAGGGCAGTGAACACTCTCAGCCCCCAGCCCAGGACAGACCCTGGGAAATGCTGGCCCACTCACCCCAGCTGCCCCTCTGACCTAGACACTACCCCCACCTGCTGGGGCAATAATGGCTCTCAGCCAGTGTGCCCCAGATCGTCAGTGCAGGGTCCATGCCTTCGGTTTCCTCCTGGGACCCCAAGACAGGACTCACAGTAGAGGCACACGGTTGGGGGATGCAGCGCAGCCCCTCTCGGCCTCAGAGCACCACTTTGAGGCAGGGCCAGTCAGGGGCTGGACACACCCTCCGACAGCCCACACCCCACCCAGCCCCCGTGTCATCCCACCCTCTGCCTCCCCACCCCATTCAGCCTCTGGTTCCAATCAGGGGTTTTCTAAGAGCTGCACAGCTACATAGCTGGTAGCTGGCTCAGGAGCACGCGTGTGGGCCTGGAAGACGGAAAAAGGGCACTGCCCACTTGCCTGGTCTGCAGGCCTGGCCTCTGTTCTCAGGGCCTGGGAAACAGTCACCTCCTTTCCTGCTCTGGAGCCAGCAGCCTGTCCTCGGGGTCACTGCTATTTCTGCCAAAGGGGAGAGGTAATTATAGCTCAGCCCTTGCCAGCTGGCCGAGCTCTGCAACCCAGAAAAGGGGCCTGGGGCGGGGACGCAGGCTGCCCACAGATTGGGCCTGCAGGCGGCGGGCAGTCCCTCCAGATCAGAGCGCAGGAAGCCGGGCAGACACAGCCTCGTCCACCTGTGCGGCCCAGAGCCTGCCTCTCCAGGGGCAGGAGGGCCCTGCCAGCCAAAACCTGCCCAGGACAGTGCTGGACAGTTCCCACTGGGGGACGCCACAGAGCCTGGCTGTCACTGTCCCTCACCTGGACCCAGGAAGGAGCAGGTGAGGTCCCAGCTCAGGGGAACGGGTGGACCCTCACATTTGGGAATGAAGCTGCCAGAGTGGAAAGATTCCCAGCAGTGATGCAGCCAGAGAGCCTGCCCCAGGTGGACACCGTGGGGCAGCGAGGCAGAGGGTACAGTTACAGGGTGACTGTGAGGCCCTGGACAATGGCTGGGGGCCATCCATCCTGTTCGCCTGGGACATGGGCTGAATTGGGCACTGGGCTGACCCCAGAAGCCCATGTCTCTCTGGGGATGGCAGGTACACTCGGCAACATCCCAGGCCTCGGTGCTCTGAGCCCTTCCCCAGCGGTCAGGCCTGATCCAGGGGCCCTGGCCAGCCCTTCATCCACGCTCATGCCCGAGGCCTGGCCGCCTGCTGAGGAGAGGGGGACGTGGCCAGACCCACCCTGGTGGCTGGAGCACAGGTCTCTCTGAACTTCGCCCAGTGATGAGCTAAGTGTGGTCCCTTCAGAAGCCACCAGGAGCCAGCATTCTTGTCATTTGCAGGGGCAGAGACCAGGGCAGCAGGGTCAGGCATGGACACCAGCAAGCCTTCTCCAAACGCTGTCAGAGCCCTGGTGAGCGCAGGTCTATACAGTCACAGCCGAGCCAGCAGGGAATGGCTCGTTCCTCGGGTCCCTTGAGCCCAGGCCAGGGTTTTGGGGAGCCCCAGAGGACTGGCCCTTTCTGGGCTGACTTAACCAGGAGGCCCACCATGATGCTGGGTGCCCCCTCCAGCCCGGGACGCACCATTCTGGGGCAGGCGCAGCAGGAGGGTGGGCCCGTCATCTCCAGCATCAGTGTGCAGGGTGCTTGGCAGACAAGCCCCATTCAACACGGGAGACGCTGACTCAGTGCGAGAGACCCACCTGGGTCCGGCTGTGGCCAGGATCTGGATCGGGGTCCACCTGCCCCGTCTGCTGGGCTGGGAGGCTGTCCCGCTGCACCAGCAGACACAGCCATCACCCAGTCCTGTTGTCACTGCGTGTCCTAAACACCCCAGAGGCAAGCGGGCCCTCTCAGGGTGAGAGCGGGGCTCAGGGCCGCCAGGCCGGCCCCTGTTGCCTGCCCTCCAGCTCTGGTGGGGCACCTAGGCGAGCCCTGCGAGCACATGGTCATCCAGCAGCGCCCCCAGGGGTCTTCTTGCTCAATTCAGAAACACATGCTATCTGGGGAGCTTCCAGCCAGTTCCCAGCTGGGAGTGCTGGGCTGAGAGCAGACAGCCCTTCCCTGAGGCCCCTGTCCACGCTCGGGGGAGGCTGGCCTGGAGGCACCATGGCCTCCTGTCCCCTTTTCCAGCCGGGACAAGCATGCGACTTGTGGCCTCAGTCCCACTTAATGAAGATAAGCTGCGCAGGGGAGGGGGGGTCAAAAATCAGCCAGGGCCACCAATCTCCGTGCTGACAGCCTCCGCCAGTGCCAGCCTGGACAAAAGGCAGAGAAGTGGCTGGGCCCGCAGGGCCACTGAGGCCACTGCCCTGCAGCTGTAATGGAAACCTCCCTGCTGGCCTGTAAGCTGGCAGCTCTGGTCTCACTCTGCTTGAGGCTCTGATCACCGGCGGATTGCAGCTGGCCAGGTGGGCGAGCTCACCAGCGGGCAGCACCTGCAGGAGCCCAGGTGGGCCCCCAGTGTGTGAGTGTGCGTGTGGTGTGAGTACGTGTGTTACAGCAAGAAGCCTGGACTGTGGCCCTACCTTCTCAGGCTCCAGGACCTGCTGGGCGGGGGCAAGACCCTCTGTCTTCTGAGGGCTGCAGGACTCGGCAAGTCCTGGTCGCCTGAGCCCCAAGGTCCTGTGGGTGAGCAGACAGTGCAGGGTTCAAGGGGTGACAGGGAACAGGCACGGCGCTGAGCCAACTGCCGGCCACAGGGTCAGAGTTGAGGAAGGGCCAGCCTCCCCCACGCAGGGCTGTGCTGTGCTGGGGTCTGAGAGGCACCTTCGGTGAGGACAGAGACATGCCAGCAGGCGGGGGATGGACGTGGGGGCATGCACAAAGGGGAGGAGGGGGGAGGCCCCGTGAGCGGCCTCATGAGGCAATGGGGCTGGGGCGGATGGCAGGATGGGTGGCCGGGCCCCAGAGTCAGGGTTACCCCTGACCAAGGTGGGGCTGGGCTGGAGAGACTCAGCCTTGGTGAGGCCGCAGGGCCCTGTCGAGACCATGTGGTCACTTCCCAGAGGCTGCAAGCCAAGGCTGGGAAGGAGGAGGCCCTTGGCCAAGCCCCGCAGACAGTCTATCAGGGACTTACGGATGCATGGCCTTGGACAGACCTCTGCTCCTGGAAAGGGGACAGGAGCCTGAGGTCTCTGCTTGGCATTCCCTCGGAGCAAGAGTTCTGGGGAAGACCTGGGGCCACCTCTGGCCAGCAGGCCCAGCCAGGCGGGCCCACCCTGGGACAATCCTGGGCAGCCCCGTGCTGGGAGCTCAGAGGCCAGTGACCTGCACACCCAGTCACAACCCAGGCCCCAAGCCCTGGCAGGCCTCAGTCCGCCTGCCCAGGGAAGCACGGTGCCCCTCTCTCTGACAGCAGGTAGAGGTGGTGCACGGAGGAGCCCAGCCCTAGCGTGCGTGCCCTCCCCAGGTCAGGGCGCAGCGCTGCGGTGACACTCTGCAGGCCCCAGGCCCGAGCTATTTTCCACCCTTTATCGCCCATCTGTCACGAGCCGGCCTCAGAGCACTCCTGTTACACGCTGTCCCTGCCAGAGGCCCCAAGGCCTCCCCACCACCAAATGGGCCCTGCCCTTGACCACTCCGCCCAAGGGTGGGGGGCCTCCTGGGTGGCAAGGGCAGCCTTCACCTGCTGAGAGCACCAGAGCCACGCCCTCCTCCCGGTTACTGGGGGGGAAACCGAGGCCCAGGGCAGTCACTCTGCTTGACAGGGGTCACTGAGCCACCAGACAGGGCCAAGGCTTCCTCTCGTGGAAAATGCCACTCCAGGGGAAGCTGCCCGCTGAGCAGGCTGTCCAGGCCGGGCCCAGATGTGGGGCGGGGAGGCTACCCAGAGCAGAAACAGCCCAGGCCAAAGCACAGGGCCAGAAAAGGGACCACCCATAAGAGGTGCTCGCTGTCCACGCCTGGGCACGCTACACCCTGTCCCTAAGGAATGCTAACAGTGGCCATCAGCGAGCCAAGCACAGTTCCCAGCTCGTGGAGGACCCCTTGGCACTCGTGCCCTCGCAAACCCTCATGAGACCCCACAGAGCAAGCTGCCATTATTATTCCCATTTCCACCTGAGTAGACCAAGGCTCAGAGTTAAGAGACTTTCCCAGGGTGGCACAGGCCACAAGGGGTACATGAGGGGGACTCCTGCACCGAGCGCCGAGCTGCACTCACTGCCAGGAACAAGTTCATACAGTACACACACACACACACACACACACACACACACACATACAAGCACACACTCACACTGTTGTCCACACCCCCTACCAGGCAGGGCAGGGCCCTGGCCCAGTAGAGCTCAGCAGCTGGGGGCTGACGGCAGTGACTGCCGAGGTCCCAGCCCCGCAGGTCCCCTGGCTCGGCCAGTTCCAAGCCTCCCCAGGCCTGTTCCCTCATCTGAACCGGTGCTGCTGGCCAGGAAGGCTGCTGTGGCCCCTGGGGACTGAGCCCCAGCCCTCAGGCCACTGCTGGGCCCCAAAGCCACCCTCTGTGAGAGCAAGTCCTTCAGCTAAGCAGGCCGCCCACCCCCTCCCCGGGCTGGCCAGCTTCTCCCATGGCCCTGTTAGCAATAAAGCCCAGACTCTGTGACAGGTAAAAACTGTTCCCTTTGGAAATAATTGAACCAGCCCAGGCAGCGTCCACACAGACACCATTAACAGGGCGCTCTGCGTGTCGGAGCTATTGATGCCTACCAAGGGACCCAGCCTCTTACCTCCCAGCTGGAAGAGTGCCGGGCCGCCTCTCCCTGCAGGCCTCCCCTGCTCACCCCACGGGCAGCCCCGCCCCTTTCGGGGTGGCCCTGGAGGCGCTGGGCTGGAGACACTGCAGGCCTCTCACTCTCAGCCCTGTCCTTAACCCTGGGGACAGTTCCTGGAGAGAGGACAGAAGCCAGGGAAGTGCCTCATGAAATTCAAACATTTGCCCCAGCAGAGGGGCAGGAATGTTCTCCAAGGACCCCAGACCAGGGAGCCCTGGAAGGGCCTGGGGCTGGGCATAAAGAGGGCAGGTGGCCCCCATGCCACCCTCAGCCTCTCCCATTATCCAGGAGCAGGGGGTAGCAAGGGCCTGAGCAAGGCCCCCAGCATTACCTCTCTGCTGCCAGGAGCCCCAGCTGTCTCCGGCCTCAATTGCCCCCAGTGCATGATGTGGGGGGACCCATCACCCCCTCCCAGAGCCCCGGGGCTGATGCTCAACACCTTCCTTCACCTGTGCAGTAGGGTCTGCACCTGGGGCAGGCCTGGGGGTTGGTCTCAAAAGACAAGGATGCGAAAGCAAATTCCCACTGCAGGCGACGGTGAGAAGGGCAGAGCCCTGGGCCTCTGCAGTCAAAGGCTCCCAGATGGAGCGGGAGGTGCCACCTTCCACCGAGTAATGAGCACTTTGAACTGGAGAGAGGGAGGGGCGGGGTGCGAGAGGGAAGGAGGCAGAGCAGAGAGGCAGGGACCGAGTGACAGAGGGACCGACAGGGTGGGGGCGGCAGGGGCGGCCCCTCCACCTCCAGCCCCACTGCGGCGGGGGTCGCCCTGGGGAAGCCCGTCCAGCCCCTGACAGCGCCAGCTCTGGACCCCACTGTTCCCGACCTGGGGCCTCCCCTGTGAAAGGACGGAGCAGAGACATTTCTTGCCGCCTTCTCCACGACCGGAAATACGGCAGGTGCCTAGAATAAACACAAACTTCTGATGACGGGTAACGGAGCGTGGTTGTCAAGTTTCTCAGACATCAGCCGGGTGGAATATTGTGCAGCCATTAAAGCGGACACCTAGGGAGACTGGCAGCAGGGGAAGCCTGAGCAGGGGGCCTCTGTGCTGGGAGCACCCGGGGGAAGCCCCGGCCGCTGTGGTGGGGCCCTGGGAGGTGAGGCCAGCCCCGCGTCCTGGGGAGAAAGCCGCCTCCTTTCACTTTATTCCTACAGCTTTGCATGTCTGGTAAGTAATGCGTCTGCTTATCTCAGGACCATGTTCCAATAAATGCCGACAGCAGTGCCAGCCTTGAGCCCTGACTCCCGGCCGGAGACAGATGAGACCAGAGAGAATGAGGAGCCTCCTCCGGGCCCTATGACACCCAGGGCGCAGAGGGTAAGGCAGGGCCGGGTCCCCGTGCAGGGCGGCGCACTGGCTCTGCAAGCTGGGCTTCCGCGGGAGGGGGCAGAGAAGGAGGAATGCCCTCGGCCCCAGAAACCCCAGGAGGGGAAATCTCCAGGTTGGGGGGTGGGGATGGGTGGCACTTTAAAGGTGTGGCCTGGCACAGAGAAGGGAGGCCCCCACAGAAGGCACAGCATGACAAAAGGTGCACGGGCAGGGGTGAGGGTCTGGGCACAACATGGGGGAAGTGCACGGGGCAGGTGGAGAGGGGCAGAGGCGGAGGAAGTGGGAGCCAGGGAGGTCTCCAGAGCAGGGCAAAGACAGTCCGAACGTGGCTCTGCCAGGTCGCCCTGGCGGCCCAGGGGGGAGGGGTGGGGGTGGGAGGACCAGACGGTCCATCAGAGCAGTGCACCGGCCTCAGACCCCGACGGCAGCTCAGGGCCCGCCTCTGCCTGGAGCCCACGCACGGAGAGCCGCCAGCCAGAGCGTCCAGGACCTGGCAGGGGTCTGTGTGTGTGGCTCCGATGCAGACAAACCTCTCACTGCCATTATTACCGAGATGTAGAGGTTACCACAGACCCACTAGGACTGGTCGGGGGCACAGCCAAGGCAGAAGGCACAGGCCCACACGGGCACTGACCAGGTCGTGGTGCCACAAATGGGGCCAGTCCTCCCACTCAGGGGCAGCCCTGGGGAGTCCGCCTGCCAGGCTGTGGCTGGGGGCCAAGGGCAGGCTCCCACAGGGGGTCCCTCTGCATAAACCCAGGAGGTGGCAGGGATCCTGGTGGGGGCCGCCCATCTCCAGCCTCCAAGGGGAAGGGCTGGGCAGGGGGGGCTCACTCTCCCACTTCCCCCCATAACAGGAGGCTGACAAGAAGTGCCCGCCCTCCATCTTGAGGCGGAGTGGGCTGCAACACCACGGCCCTGGGGCTGAGCCACAGAGGACCTCGAGGCATGTGCGGTTCCAAGAGCCGCTGGAGGTGGCTGTCCACTGTAAGAGGGGAGTACAGGGAGCCAGCCAAGGCAGGGGTGGGGTGGGGAGAGCACAGAGGGACACTGTATCCCAGCACCTCTGGGAGGGCCGTCTGGGGGAACCACGGCCATACATCCCACTTCCAGGTGTGACCCCAGTAAAATCTGGGCCGCAGAGTTGGTCTGGACAGAAACAGTCAAGAAAAGAGCCAGAAAAAATAGAACCAGAGCTGCCCTGGTCATTACTGCCCTCGAGGAAAGGCCAGGGGGGCCCAGCCACTCCTTGAGCTGCTCGCTGCCCCCAGCTCCTCCCGGGCCCTCGCCCCCACGGCCCACCTCACCCCTGCTCTGGCCTTTCCCACGGGACATGGCCCCATATCAGCGAGCTGTGCTGAGTAACAACTCACCCCGAACTTAGCGTCATGCTTATTATCTCGGTGATGCCATGGGCCAGGGGTCCGGGCGCAGTGAAGATGGTCCTCTGCGCAGGGTCTCCCAAGGCTACCATGGAGGTGGCGGCCGGGGCTGATACCAGCTGAGGCCCGGGGCTCCTCCCCAAGCTCACAGGGCCATTTCAGGATTCATTCCCTTGCAGCTGTAGCACTTACGGCAGCTGCACCCACATGGCCAGGGCAGACACTCTCTCTGACCGCCAGACCCTCTAAAGGAGCTCGCCTGGTCAGGTCGGGCCCACCAAGATATCTCCCTCCTGATGGGCTCAAAGTCAACTGACCGGGGGGTTTTCATCTCAGCTGCAGAAACGCTTCCCCTTTGCCACTTTCTGTTGTATAGAAGCGAGTCACACGCTAAGCAGAGGGCCCACCCAGAAGCCAGGACGCAGAGTGGGAACGGAGGGGGCATCACAGGTCCCTAGGAAGGCCCTCCCCGAGTCCTGCCGTGTCGGGTGACCCCTGCCCCAGCACGGGCCTGTGTCTCCCTGTGGCTGGTCACTTCTGTCCGGCCCAGGCTCTGCCCCTCTCGGGACAGCCAGCGCCTGGCTCCGGGCCCAGCTCCCTGCTGCTTCCCTCTCCCAGGGTTCAGCCCCCTCTCCCACAGAGGTCCTGTGGGAGGTCCTGGCCAGGGCCAGGGGGGTGTGTGGGCTGGGTGGAAGGTGGAGGGTCCTGTCTGCCCCTCCCCGGGCACCAGCCCGCTGGTCCCCAGGACCCCTGAAGCCTCCTTCCAGGAGCTGCCTGCAGGGCCACCATGCCACACGCCCCCACAGACTCCGAGAGCAGTGCCCGGTGCTCCGGGCCCCCGCACGCTGGCCGCCCGAACCTGAAGCTGCGCGACCGTGTTGGAGCCCTGGAGTCCAGGCGTGTGGCCTGGGCCTGCAGTCTGCAGAGCCAGTGGGGCTGTACCTGGCACAGCCCTGACTCAGGGTCCCTCGGGTGGGCAGGGGCAGGCTGAGAGGCACCGGGGGCTTCAGGGCCCCTCCAGCAGGGAGTCCTCACTGCCTGAGCCCACTGGTCTCCTCCCCAGATGCTGCCTGCAGGGAGCCCCCCACCACCACCAAGGGTAAGTTCTGAGCCCTGGGCCCCCTTCCCTCGGGGGCCCTAGCCCCCCACAACGCTGCACCCAGGCCGCCCTCAGTCCCCCATATGCCTGCTGCTCCAGCGGTGCCCCTGTCCTGCAGGGCAGCTTCCCACACCAGGGCCCCTTATGCACAGGTGTCCTCCGAATGCAACCTAGGGACCCCCTCCGGGCACCGTCTGCCCTGCTTCCTCATCCCCCAGGGAGGGCGCTGCAGGCGGGCCACCCAGAGCCCCATGGTGGGCAGAGCCCAGGTGGCACCATCGGGGCCCAGGACTGGATGGCAATGGAGGCTGCGCTGCTCTCCCTGCAGCCTCCCTGCAGCCCTGCAGGGAAGAGGGAGCCCTCCAGGGTGCCCACTGGGGGCTCAGGGCTCCTGGCCCGGGGCTCACCATGCCCCCCCCACCCGCCCTCAGCACCGGGGCCACGCCTCTGCAGCGGCTCCCTGCTCCTGCGGCTGTCCGTGTGCGTCCTGCTGGCACTGGTGCTCGGCCTGTACTGCAGCCGGGCCAAGCCGGTGGCGCTGGCCCTCGAGGACCTCCAGGCCCGGCTGCTGGGCCTCATCCTGTGCTTGCGGGACGCGGCCCTCACCTGCTGGCGCTGCCTCCTACAGCTCTGACCGCGCAGGACTCACCTCCACCCCGGCAGCACCAGCGGGCAGCATTGCGGGCACAGAGCCCCAGGGTGGCTGGAGGCCCGAACCCTGAACCCTGGAGACTCAGGTCCCCACTCTGATCAGGGGCCCCCCTGTTCACATACTGGGGTCCTCTGTGAGGTTTCATTAGAAAAAGGATCCAGTACTGAAAACTGGGGACCCACGAGCTCTTTAGACCCCTCCCTCGTCCCAGTGGGAACTTGATGCCCTTGGGCCTGGCCTGGATGCGGCACAGTGTAGCCCCTATAGAAGGGGTCACCCTGCCCTGAGTCTGGGGGACCCCGCAGGGAGGGGCAACTGGCCTTTTGCTTAGGGCCTGAACTGCCAGGACCCAGAAGCCCCGCTGGGGGAGGTGAGCTGGCTGCTGGGTCACGCCCTCCCGCAGGCCCCTCCCAAAGCCACACGCAGGCTAGGGCCCCACACCCCAACCTTGCTGGCGGTGTTGGGCTGTCATCCTGAGCCCAGGTCTGACCCCTCACTGGGCCCAAGGCCTGGGGGAAGCATGTCCTGCCCAGCACCCCCCAGCCATCCTGCCTCAGGGTGTGGAGCAGAAAGGGGGACAGCAAAGAGCCCAGAGGCAGGGCAGCTCTGCCCAGATGCCCACCATTCTCAGAACACAGCCATCTGTGCGCATGTCCGGGGCATGCTGCACAGCTGGGGGCCTGTGAATACCCAGACTGCACGCACTGCCATGCCGTCCCCCATGGGGCACGGCCAAGGGGCCCCTCCAGACCCCGCACAGAGCAGGGAGGCCCATGGCCCTGGGACGACCTTCGAATGAGTGTCCACAGGCTGCCCCTTGGGGGGCTGACCGCTAAGCCCTGCCCACCAGAGGTGGGGAGACTGATTTCCTATTAAAACGCACGGAACCTCTTCGGTCTGGGGAGTTTTACCCAATGGACAGAAATGGGGCTGATTCACTATGGAATTCACTTCGTGGGCTAACGCAGAGGTGGGGGCACTGGGGAAAACGCCCCTTGGGACTCGGGGGCCAGGGCAGTGAGCTCCAGGGTCCCTTCCAGCTTCAGAACTTGGGGAGCCCAGTGAAGAGGGGCCTGGCTCTAGGACAGCGGTCTAGAGGGGACTAGAGTGGGGTCCCAGGCCCAGCCCTTAGGGGTCCCCCAGCATCACAGCATAACCCCTCCGGCCACTGGCCCAGCTCCCAGGACTCTGCCTCATCTCGCCCCTTCCCTCTGGAAGAGGACAGGCAGGTCACGGCCCCATATTCCAGATGGGGAAGTCGAGGCTCGGAGAGGCTAGGCCATATGTCCGGGCCCACAGGGCTGAGCCCCCGGTCCCACCCGGATCCACCAACTGCCCACCACCAAGGCCCGCTTGGGAGGGCCCGCAGGCACAGCCCCACTGCTCATGTGTGCACCACGACCCTGAGAGACCCGGGCGCGAGGTCTGTCCTCCAACCCGGGGAATTCGCAGTGGAGCCCGGCCCCCAGCAGATGCCAAGGGGCCACCGGCTCCGGACTCCCTAGAAGGTTCTAGAGCTACAGGAGCACAGAAGGCAGGTTTCCGGTCTTAAAATCAGACAAAGCAATGAAATCAAGGTAAGCTTAAGAGGAAGGAAGGGCGGGAACAGGCCCCTCCTGAGCCACACTAGAGGCTCAGGTGCTTCTGTCTTTATTTTGACTTTGAGTAATAGATACATTTAGGACAACTTTGCAGCTTAGCCAGTAGAATGGAACAGAGACGCCTGCGATCACACAGCGGCTGGGGGAGGGAGGCACGGAGAAGCCAGTCCTGTCCAGTCCTGTCCATAAGCCAGGTGCTTATGGAACCCGCGCCCAGCTCGGGAGACCCCGCAGCACGGCCTGCCCGCCTGCCTCCCTGGCCGGCTCCGGGAGTCCTCCTAGCCCACAGCAAGGGCACACAGCTCCCGCCTCAGAAGCCCCCCGGGCCGGCTGCTCTTTCCCTGGAAGCCCCCGAGACATGACATGGAGGACTGGGGGTGCTGGGTGCCTGAGTCAGGCCTGCGCCAGCGACCCCCCAACTCTGCAGGCGACACCTGTAGGTAAGCGGACGCAGGTCTCTGTCAGCCTGGCCAAGTGCCCAGACCAGCTCCAAGTAATCGATGAGGGGCAGCTGCCAAGGGCAAACCCAAGGTGGCCCTAAGACTCCAGAAGCCCACACCCTGCCCCTTCTCCCCTGCAGGGCCTGGTGGCTGCTAGGGGCCGACAGGTTCTCAGGGCTGGAAATGGTCCCCAAGGCCAGTGGACTCGGGCTGGCATTCAGGGCTGCAGCAACACCCGACCTGCTTGGGAGCCGCAGGGTCTGTCTGAACACCTCCCCCAGGGACCTGCTGCTCTGCCCGGAACCCTCAGCTGGGGCCTGAGGCCAGAGCGCCTCTGAGGTGGCAGAAGCCATGCCCACCTGGATCCCACCGCCCATGGACAGGTGCTTCCTTACAAGTGACCTGCCAGCCTGGCTTCCCTGCCCAGGCTGTCCACTTCTATAGGCACCTCCACCCAGGCCGGATCCATGGCCTCTGGAGGCCCTGCGCCCCACCATTTGGGAGACCAAATCAGCCACAGATGCGGGGAGTCGGGGGCTCTCTGCCTTGAGTGGGGAGAGCAGCGGCAGGGGTGAACTCTTGACAGGAGGGCCGGCCCAGGAAACCGGGATTGCTTATGGAACCCCTGGGGGAGAGGGGAAAGTGGTGGGGTGCGCTCTTACAATTTGGGGACCCCACCCCTGGACAGAAGCAGATTTGGAAGCCAGGGAACCCCGAGAGGAGTGGGGTCACTGAGCTCCAGGCTCCCCACTCTCCACCTGCTGCTGTGTACGTGGGCCATGTCCCTAGAGCTAGTGCCGTGGGTCAGACAGGATGGCAGCCCCCTGGGGGTTGGGGCGTGTCCTCACCCACTGGGTCTCGGCCCACCCCTCCCTGTGTACACTCCCGAGGGCAGACTCCTACCACGTGTGCACTAATACACGCACAGACACCTGTGGTGACATCTGGCCCCATCCCTCCCTCCCTACGCGGTAGTGCCCCTGACCCACGTCCACACCTCCCCCAACAGCACAGGCCCAGCCCCCAGGCACTGAGACTCATGCTGGGGCCCAGGGTCCTCACAGGCCAGGCCACACAGGGCTCCCCAGGCAATGCCTGTGACAGAGAATGGAGGAGGCCACAGCTCAGGCTCCCAGCCCCAAGCCGTGGCCACTTCCCAGGACACCCACAACCCCCACCCGACTCCAGGCCAACACGAAGCCTGGCCACACAGGGCCACAGAGCAGAAACAGAGGGGGACTTAGCCCTGGGGCTGCCGCAGGGGCCAGAAGGAGAGGAACACGTATAAACTCCTTCTCACACTCAGCCCTTTGCCCCCAGGTTTTGGGTTCTTGCCTCAAGCACTTCTCAGGAGCCAGTGACAACACCGATGTGTGGCCATTGTGGGCTAGTTGGGCCACGCTGGGTACACGGGCTGCTGCCATGGAATCACACCTGAGGGTCCAGCAGAGGCATGGACCGCAGCAGCCTGACGGCCCGAGGGGACCAAGAGGCTGGACACCCCTGGGCCTGGCTCACCCGGCCAGGCATGCTGCCCCTGCTTGAAGCCTGGAGGAGGCCAGGGCAGCCCAGTCGGCTGCCACGCTCACGGTGGGATAGGGGCGTTTGCGTGAGCGGGAGCACTCCCTTTACACAGGCCGAGGGGGGACATGCAAGGCGTGGGGCCTGAGCGGGGCCCCCAGACACTCCCCCAGGACAGGCCCTGTGCCCCTGGGGAGGGAGGGGGCACCTGGGGCCCGAGCCACGCCTAGATGACGGCGCTCTTCTCCTCCCGGGAGGTGGCGCGGGGGCCAGGCCTGGCCAGCAGCAGCTCCTTCTCGTGGGTCAGGCTTTCGAGCAGGTCCTCCTGGCGGTAGTTGTGGTAGACTTTCAGGAAAGCCAGGATGGTGATGGCCAGCCAGGCCAGCCACGAGGCCCAGAGGCCGAACTGCAGGGGCAGGGGGAGGGTCAGGGGCTGGCCAGACCCAGGCCCAGCGCTCGGTGCCCTGCTGCCCCCGGGAGAGGAATGGGGCAGGGACAGCGCACTTTCTCACTCCCTTCCTAGCCAAAGGGACCTGAGCAACGCTTTTGGAAACCACGTTCACCCTCACTCCCAGCCAGGCCAGTCCAGGGAGGGCAGTGGCCCTGGCAGCTCCAAGGGGAGCTTGTCCCTAAGGGGACTCCTCCACGGCTGGGGCAAAGTGACCTGCACCTGCGATTTCCGCATGGTAGGAGGAGAAAGGATCGATCAGGCACAGGCCTGAGACTTCAACTGGCTCTCACTCCTCAGGGACCCAGCTCACACCTTCCTTAAAGTGACTGGCAGTTTCCTGACATCCCACTACGTCTGGTTAGGGTGTCTGGCAATTTCAGCTCATCTCAGCAAAGAACCTACAGCGCCCCCAGGATCGGCCCCCCAGAGGACTCCTCGCCACGGCAGGTCTTGAAAGGCCAGTCTGGGGTCTGGAAGTGCCCTGGATGCTGACCAGCCGGCTCAGCGACAGGAGAAGCCCCACGCGGCACCCTGCAACAGTGTCGTTGCTGGGGGTTCCTCCAGGCTGGCAGGCCAGATGCCCTCACGCCCTTCCTCAGACATCCTGCCTGGGGGATAACTGAGAGCCCAGCAGCATTTATCTGAGGGGGCCACTTGGGGCCACCAGAATCCAATCCTTACACAGCCATGCAGCCCCCGATCTGATGCTGTGTCGTGCCCAGCACCACCAGGGCCACCTGCTCACTCCCCAGGGCCCCTCCTCCTGCAGTTGGCTCAGCTCCTAGGACACCTCACGCCCTACCCTCTCCATGTCCACCTGCAAAATTCCAGTCTCCAAGACCCAGCCCTTCCACACACACACCCCCCAGGAAGCCTTCCGACTGCTCCCCCAGGGTAGTACTCACTTAACTGTGGCTGCTCTGCCTGGCACCATCCTTAAAAATCAACTAATCTGTTTCCTCCCCAGGATCAGGGGTGAGGGGTGGGCTGTGCAATGGCCCCCTCCCCAACAAGGTAGCCTCCCTTCCAACCTGAACCCGCTCCCCAGCAGCCCCACCCCCAGCAGCCCCGCCTACCTGGGCAATCACAAACTGATCATAGAAGGCAGAGCTGTCCACGTTCAGCTCCAAGTCGATGTCCTGGAGCTCTTTGCAGCTAAAGAAGCAAGGGGTGGAAGGTAACTGCAGGGCCACCGAGCACAAGGAGCAGCCGAGCATTACCCCTAGATGGCAAGGGGGCTGCCCCCAAAGTGGGGCAAATGGAGGGCCTCAATGCCTCCTCTGTGGAACAGGGAACCTGAAGACCCCGCCCCAACCTAGCTGTGACAGCAGGGCCACCAGGGCCAGTCTCGGCTCTCCTGGTGAGTGTCCCTGGGCCCCTGGCCCCACAGCACTGCAGGGTCGGGGGCTTCAGAAGCAGCGAGTGTGGGGCTGAGGCTTCTCACCCCTCTGTCCCCAGACTCAACAGCCCAGCGGCTCTACTCGCATGCCACGGGGGCATCTGCAGGGGCAGCCTGCCCACCCTTCACCGGCTCTCCAGCGGGGGCCAGCTGGGTGAACCACAAGCCCTATGTGACTTACACAAACTGTGCACCAGCGGGCAGGCTGGGCCCGGCCTAGCCTCCAGGCTGGAGTGGAGGAGGCCCAGGAGCCAGGGGCCTGCAGCACTGTGAGAGGCTGGGACACACGGATGGAAGACAGAAGGCAGCCCAGAGGCCCCGCACACCCGGGGGGGTGCTGGGGCGGGTGTGAGGGCTGGAAATGGTGTTGGTGAGGGTGAAGAAACTTTGGGCATCTTGCTGGAGAAGCCCAAGGCCATGCCCAGGAGCCGGCCTACACTCAGAGGGCTCTCAGAGGGTGACAAGCAGGAGGCCACGGGGCCCAGCTGGAGGAGTTCAGCTTAGCCTGGGTAAGATCCGCCCGCCACAGAGGGGCTGCCCACCCAAGGTGCTCCAGCTCTCCTCTGCTCTGGGCCTGGACAGCCACAGAGGTGCCCAGGACCCCAGCGGGTGAGCAGGTGAGGTGCCCCCACTTCAGCACTTTCACCCATTTTACACACTGATTCTGGGTCTGATTTTGTTTAAAGAAAGAATCTAGAGCCTCTGGCAGAGGTGAACCAAGGTCCCTGCCTTTCCAGGGTCCTCGCCTAGGACACTGGATGAGGCTCCTCAGGCCTGGGCCCTGAGCAGCCCCACTCGGGTCAGGCAGCCACCAGGCTCCACCCCGGGCTGACCCCAAGCTGGACACGGCCCCACACTCAGGGCCCAGGGCGACTGTCCTGGCCCCAAAGGCTCCATCCCCGAGCCCCCCCCACCCCCCACAGCAGTGCAGGGTGGGATCTGCAGGGCCCTCCAGAACGTGGAGCCCGCCCTGAGGGGCCATCACCCAGCCAGTGCCGGCAGTGCTGGGCAGCTGGGATCTCTGACCCGGGCCTCTGCCTCCACCCTGGATCCACACCCAGGTCCGAGGGGCCCCACTCTGTGGGGAGCTGTGGCTCCTTGAGTTGGGACATCAAGGAGACAGGCCCAAGGGAGGAAGCTGGCCAGGTGTGCTGCTGGGGGTGCACGTGGGCAGGCGGCGTCTGGGAGCATCGGGGGGTGGGCAGGGCCCGCACACACCTGTGGGGCACCGCGCCCTTCTCGGTGACAGCGTCACACCACATGGTGAAGCCCACGCTCACGACTGTGCCGGCGATGAAGATGAGGAAGACCGCGAGGGCACCGACCAGAAGGCTCAGCGACGCGTAGAGGAAGGACCTGCAACCAAGGACAGGAAAGGGGCAGTGAGGGAGGGCCGCCGCCCAGGGTCCCCACAGCATCCCCAGCAGGTGGGCAACAGCGCAGAGGTTTCCAGCCAGGGTCTGGGCCGGGCGGGGCCGCGAGGGGCGTCTCCCCTCCTGCTGCCCCTCACTGCAGGCCCCACGTGCTGGCCCAGGCTGCCCGCCCCAGCCAGATCGGGAACCACCGTCGGCGCCGTCTTGAGAGGAGGCAGGCCCGAGATCTGAACCCGAGCATCAGAAGCAGCGACGTGCTGAGAAGGAAGATGCCCTGTCAGGGCTGCTCGCCCATGTGGCCATCGGCCAAGGCCACTTACCCACATGGTCAGCACCACAGCCGGCCTGGACCTTCACGAGGGGCTTTCTGTATGGCCCTACTCTGACTTCCCCAGTGAAACTGAGAAGGCCGAGCTGTGCCCAGGGTGGGGGCATGGGGAACCGCAGGGCAGAGCCCTGAGGGCAGAGCTCGCCCAGGGTGGGCCTCACTGCCCCATGCGTCAAGGGCCTCCACAGGGTGCACACAGGCATGCCCCCCCGGGGTCCTTCTACAGGGCACCAACATTTGCTCCCCAGCAGCCAGAGCACCCTCCCACCTACCCAGGCCCCTGCCCACCCCTCCACCTTTGAACCCCTCCCTCAGGTCGGCCAGGCCCAGCTCACACTGAGGCCGTGGCAGAAAGGAGAGACGAGGCTGTCCTCTCGGGGGATCCCCCTCCGGCGGCCCGCGGCCCGGGCCCACCTCTGCTGATGCGCACGTCAGAGCCATCCCGTCAGCACATCAGCTCCGAGGGGAACAATCGGCCACCACAAGGTCTCAGCGGGGACCTCGGCCGAGAAGACATCACAGGCTCGATGGCGGTGGCCCAGGCCAGGCGGAGGCGGACGCCCTGTCCTTTCAGCCTCGCCTCCACCAGGCTGGTCCTTCCCACGCATCCACCTCCCACCCCGCCCTGTGCTGGGCCCTGGGGACAGAGAAATAAAAACTCATGCACCCCAGCCGGTGGGCAGACAGCAAGCCAAGGGCACTGTACCCAACTCCGAGCACTTGGCAGCTGGACCAGCTGCATCTCTGGGGAAAGGTCCCCTGGGGGCTGTCCTCCTGGTGTGACCCCAGGGCTGGGGACCTCAACACCCCCCCCAAACACAGCCCCAAAGGAGGGGCAAGGCCACAGCAATGCTCCAAGAAATCACCAAAAAGAAGGGACAGCGGGGCGGCCTGCACGTCTACACGCATGCTCACGCCTGCACCAGGGTGTCTGTGCACCAGCGCACACCCACACCGCAACCCACACTCCTAGCCAGCCTGGCTGCTGAAGCTCCCCGGAGCTCATGGCCACCCGTGGCTCCTTCCCATCCCAGGGCTGAGGAAGCCACCCTCTGCTTGGCTCTCAGGGCTCTGCCTGTGGGATGGGCTCTGTGCCCCCAAAATCAGGCCACCCATGGGCTGTCATTTTCCCCGTGCTCTTCAGACCACCTCCCCTGCCCTGCCCAGGAGGCTGACCAGATGAGACCCCAGCAGTGACCCCGCTCCTGGCTGAGTTCCGACAACGGGGACTCTCAGGGCAGGGGCCGGGGACAGGGGTGGCCACTCTGGGATCCCTCCCAGAGGCTGTCCCAGGCTGGCCTTGTCCCTCTGCCAAAGGTCACTGCCCTCCCCAGGCAGCCTCTTCCACGTAAATGTCCCCCTCCGGTCCCTCCCGCCAGGGCTGGTGACCGGCCATCACAGGGCTGCACACCCGGCCCACGCCAGAGTCTCTGCCAGCCACCTTCTTCATGCCTCCGGGGCTGAGCCACCTGTTTCCACATGGGCCCCTGATAGACGCAGCTCTGGGGTGCAAAATCCATCTGGTCCCAGCGCTATGGATTAGGGGTCGGGGCCTACAGTGATGAAGCGGGGTACGTCACAGCCTACCCCACCTCCAAGGCTGCCCTCAGGCAGACCCAGGGGTCACACCCTGGCTGCCCCTTTGTAAGCTGTGTGACCTTCAGCAGATCCCCCTCTCTGGGCTCGATCTCCCCTTCCGTAGATGGGGTGGTAAGAACCCCAGCTGAGTCACTGAGGAAACTGAGGGGGCTTGCACGAGGAAGGACCCCCAGCAACAGCGGCTGGAGGCTCAGGAGTGCGCGGGCCTCCCCAGGACAGACCTGCCCACCACGCAGGCTGGGAGAGGCTTGCCACTCAGAGCCCCGATCTGGGCAGCCCAGAGCACCATGCACGGGGCCAGGGCCATGTCGCCACAGGAGATGGGCGCTTGGGAAGCAGAGTCAGGACCCACATGCCTCGAGACTGTGGCTGGGGGCTGGCTGTGCCCTTGTGGGGGCTCAGGGACCCCCTGGAGCCCTCCTTCCTGGGAGCTGGTGCCCCAAGGAAATCAGAGACTATCCAGGACCCACACCTCGAGGTCCGTCTTGGATGGCCACTCCACTTCAGCCAAGAAGCACGTGGTGGTCCCAGGGGGCTAGGGACAAATCTCCACAGGCAGGGCAAAGTAGCAGCCCACCCTTGGCACCCAAGCTCAGCTCACTGGGAAGGTGGTTCCCCTTCTGTCCCCCAAACACCCTGCCCAACATGCAGACGTGATAGCAGCTGCTCCTGCGGGCCTCCCGGGAGGAGGGACAGCAGGGTGCAGAGGGCACGCCGCCAGCCCAACCACCTGTCAGATCCTGCACCCTGTCTTGGGGGGCATCCCCACATTCTGTACCAAATTCCAGAGGTGTGGGAGGGCTCGTCACTCTGTGTGTGGCCAACGCACCCTCGGGGAGCCCGACACAGGGTCTGAGACACAGCCGGCCCTCCCCACGTCTAGGGCCCCTACGACACAGCCTTGGGGAGCAGGATGCCCCAGGCACTCCAGCCCCGCCTCAGTGAAATGGGCGCGATTTGGGCTTCTCCTCCCAGTCCCCACCCCGTAAGATGGGGACACGTGCCAGCCAGGGTCACAGGCAACTGATAGCCTCCTCCCCTCTCGACCATTTCTGCTCAGGTTCCATGGAACTTGCCAGGCTCTAGAGATTTTACAAAAGCTGCATGTGTGCAGAGCCTCACTTGGGCCTGGCACCCCCAAAGCTCATAATGCCCCCCTCTCCACTCCCTCCCCAAGGGCGGGCCAGCGCACAGTCAGGATGGCAGCACAGCTGCCCGCACACAAATGGTCACCTCCGGCCCTCTCTCGCCTCTCAGGGTGCCCATCCTGGACATGCCGTCGCCATGGCGATGCTATCCCAGGAAGCCCCGGGAACAATTTGCAGGCTGAGGGACATGTGTGGGCAAGCAGATGGCTTGTTTTAACCCAGCGCTCCCCAGCCATTGATCACAGACCACTGCCACCTGGACGCTCCCAGGGCTCCCGTGTGGGCAGAGCCGCCCCAGGCCCGCGGTCCTCCCTCAGCTCCCCCATCCGCCCTGAGCCGAGTGCCTCAGCTGTCCTGACGCACTCACCCATGCCCACAGTCAGCAGCCAGTATGTCCCCCCTGTGCCAAAGGCTGCCCAGCTCCTCAGCCCTTTCCACTCTTGAGCGGTCAGGCCCCCACTTTGCCCAGGGCCACACCTGCATGGGAAGAAACGGGCATCACAGAAGTGCCTGACCACTGAGCACAAGACCCAGCATGAGCCCCTCACCCAGAGTAAAGGGTAGGTCCTGGTGAGTGTGGATAAAATGAGAGTTCCTGCAGCCAGGATTCTCACCTGGCCCTGGTCGGCTAGCTCACTGCTCACCTGGGGGCAATACATGGCTGTTGACTCTATATAAAGAGCTCCACCCAGTGCTCTGGGCAAAATGGTGGCAGGGCTGCCAGGCTGCAGGAGAGCAGAGGCTGGAGTGGTGGCAGCGCCGAGGACAGAGGCCCAGAGGACAGTCATACAGGATGGCTGTGCAGGCAGAGACTGGCTTGCTGCACACAGACTCACTCTGAGTGAATCACGGCATTTCAGTGATTGACCTGCCACCATGGAAATAAAGTTGGGTATAACCCTTTCAGCCCAAGAACATTCTACTGTCATTTTCTTTGGTCACACTGACTCCATAGTGAACTTGCCGGGGGCTGAAACCCATTGGCAAGACAGTGAGGGTCCTGGGTGGTCTCTGACGCTGGCCTCCTAGGGGTTCAGTTTGCACACTGACTCTAAGCAGCAGGTCCCTCCAAAAGCATGGGTCTGACGCGGGCAGTGGTGCCTCGGAGGGTGCGATATCCAGTGACCACGCACGGCCTGAGAGCCGTCATCCATCACAGGAGCTCACGCCCCTGCTCTTCCCAGCCTCCTGGCTGTCTGGAGTCCCCTTACTGACCCAGCACTGGCCTGGTCTACATGGCTTGACCAACAGATGAGCTGGAACTGGCTTCTCTAGGACGGCTGCCCTGCCTGTGGCTGGATGCGGCAGAACCAGCCTTTTGGGGGGGCCGGGGGAGGGGTCCAGAACTTGATGACGCAGCCAGTCTGCAGGGTTAACCCCTTGGCCAGATTGTGAAAGACTTTGGGGCCAGGCGAGCAGCTATGAAGCAGCAAACCTCAGGAGGCAGGCATCTTTCTGTCATTCATTCAACAAACACTAATTCTGTGGCTCCTGTGCACCACGCCCTGTGCTCAGCCCTGAGCATACAAAGACAAGGAATGTGCCTGCCTTGGGTTCATCCAGCCCAGGGCCCCTCAGATGGACAGCCACACCTGGATACCCATGAGGCTGTGACCTAGGCCTCCAACCAGAGCTAAGATGAAGAGTGGACACTTCCAACAGATGTCAGCACAGCTGGCCGGCTGCCAAGTGCATCGTGCAGTGGCTGGAGGGGTTGGGGGGCGGAACAAACACATGGCCTTGGCCAAGAATTCCTGTTGGGCGAGGAGGTCATTAGGTAACATGTCGCTGGAGAAGAGGGGCTGCCCCCCACCAGCTGCCCCTATCAAACCCTAGACACATCCTTGGTGTTAGGACAGGTGAGCCCCTAGAACTGACTGACGCAAAGGGACAGAAGCCCCAAAATGTTCCTCCAGCCAGGCCACATCCCCAGGACACAAGCTCCCTCCGTCCTGGGCAGACGAGCACAACGGAGGAGCGTGGAAAGGCAAATAATGCCCTAGGCCTCAGTGTCCCATCTTGGAAATGCGATGGTGAGGGCACTTTCACAGAGCCGACAGCTCCGTAAGTAACTGGCAGAAAAGCTGCGGCAGCCTTCCCAAGGGCGGCCTCGGCCCTGTGCAGTGGGCAGCGGCAGGTCCAGGGCTCCCGGCTCTGAACTCTCCCGTCACTGAGTCACATGGCTGGGCCTCACCTACAGCGCAGCTGCGCGTCTTCACCATCTGAACTCTGGATGCACTGAGGCTGCTTGTCCCATAGGGACAAGCGTAAGCTGATGGCCAAGCCACGGCCTCCACGTGGCTTGTGCTCACCGCCCTCTGCTTCCCAGACTGAAGAGACCTCACCTGCCCCACCTGGTGAGCAGCCCAGCCCCGCACCTCACCTGCCCCACCTGGTGAGCAGTCCAGCCCCACACCTCACCTGCCCCACCTCATGAGCAGCCCAGCCCCAGACCTCACCTGCCCCACCTGGTGAGCAACCCAGCCCCGCACCTCACCTGCCCCACCTGGTGAGCGGCCCAGCCCCAGACCTCAGACCCTGTCTCCCGACCTGCCCAGGGACACTGGGTAACACCCAGGCTGGCGGTGTGGGTACAGATCACATCTTAAATGTCTCCTCAGGACACGAGCCATCACGGGCTTGAGGGAAGGAGGCTCAGAGACCCGCACAGGGTAGGACTCCACCATGGGACTGGCCTGGGCCCAACAGCACCTGGAGGCCTCCCCAGGCTGATACACGACTTCCTACAGACTCCAAATTGTGTCCCCCAACAACATAAATCCAAGTCTTCTCACTGGGACCTGTGAATGTGATCTTATTTGGAAGCAGGATCTCTGCAAGTGCCAGTAACCTAAAGAGCCCTGGATGAGGTCACCCCAAGTGGGGGTGGGCCCCGAATCCCATGGCTACTGCCCTTACGGAGGAGCAGCTTCTGGGATCTCACCCCTCCTCCAGGTGTCCCAGCCCTGGCTGCCCCTGTCCTGGTCAACCTGCCCCTCCTTCCATGACAAGGCCAAGCTGAGTGCTCGCGGGTAACCCTGCTGCCCACTCACACCCTCAGGGCTCTCGCCTATCTCCCACTCCCAGAAAGTGAAATGCCATTCAAAACTGCCAACAACTGACAGATGGGGGCGAGGGTAGGGTGGGGTGGGGTGGGGTTTGGAAGAAGGCCAGGACCTCCCTTCCGGATGGGAGGCAGGCCACCGGCAGGAGTGGCCTCCCGGGACCTCTGCAAGGGCCCTGGGCTGCTCTGGGCACAGGTCCAGGCAGGTGCAGGGGCTGTCCAGAGGGTCCCGCGGGGTGCAGGCTCAAGGAGTGCTCTGGGCTGAGGCCTCCCTCCCAGCACAGGTGAACCACATCCGGCTCCCCCAGAACAGGGCCAGGCAGGGAAAGGTGGGGGGGTGGAAGCCAGGAGAAAGGGGGACCTGTGAGGGCAAAGCAGGGCCGCCACTCGGGGCCTCGCCCCTTCTCTCGCACCCCACAGCCGAGGTCTGGGCCCTGGCGGGAGACCTCAAGGGGCTCCCGTCCCCCTTCTCAGCTATCACCGACGCCTTGTCAGCTTCCTGCCGGGTCTGGACCCTCCCGCATCCACCCGGGGGCGCGGCGAGAGCGCCGAGGGTTGTCCCAATGGTGCGGGCCCGGCTGGGCCGGCCAGGAAGGGCCCAGGTCTGGGTGGGATGACCGCGCGCCCCTTGCACCCTGGCGACGGGGGTGGCGAATGCCTGAAGCGGGAGACGACGCGCACCTGGGGAGGGAAGCGCCGGCCTCGGACGCAGGACGGGAGACCCTCGTGACGCCGGGCTGTGCGCGCAGAAAGGGGCAGCTGGAGCCGAGGCGCGGGCCGCGGGACGCCCGGGGACAGGAGGGAACTCACGCGCCCCTCGCGGGGGGCGGGCCCGGGGACGCGGAAGGGGCGCCGGCTCCAGGGGGGCCCCCACTTACCCCTCGCGCCCCCTGCAGAGGAGGAGGAGCGCGCGCCAGGTGTGCACGGCGGCGAGCAGCAGCGAGAGGAGGCCGGCGAGCAGGCCGGAGCGGCAGGCGGCCGGCGGGCCCCACTCCTGCACCGTGAAGCGCTCGCGGCCCCGCACCGTCAGGTTGGCGCTCAGCCACATGCCCTCGGTGAAGAGCAGGCAGCGGCCGCGGAAGTCGCGGCCGTGCTCGGACAGCGGCACCACCACCGCGAAGCCGAGCAGGAAGGCCAGGGAGTAGCAGGCGCACTGCGCGAGGAGGAAACTGCTGAGCGCCATGGCCAGGCCGGCGCGCCGGGACGGCGGCGGCAGGAGGGTGCGGGCCGCGGGCCCGGCGCCTCCGTGAATCCCGGGCCGCGCGGGCGGCTGCGCAGTGGCGGCGCCGCGGGTCCTGCGCGCCACGCCCGGGACGCCTGCGCGGCGGCCGAGCGCGGGCGGCGCCTGCGTTCAGCACCGCGGACAGCGCCCGGCGGGCTGGGGGCGAAGGGCGAAGGGCGGAGGGGGTGCTGGGGGGCCACGCCAGGGAAAGGAGCCCGGTGCGCGCGCCGGGTGCAGAGCAGGCAGCGGACGGGACCCGCCCCTGTGCCGCTGGCGAACCAGGCGCTACCCGTGTGCGCCTCACGGACGCTGATTCTGTGTCCCCAGACCCGCCAGCGTTAAGGAAAGGAGGCTAGGGCTGGGGTTCAGGAGGAGCGCGTCCAAGAGGCCCACGGTGAGGCTTGCAGTCCAGGCCGGGGCGACGCTTTTTCGGTCCTGGAGCGAGAAATATGGGGGGAAACGGTGGAGGAGTTGGGGTCGCAGGAACGGCAGGGAGGTCATCCACGGAGACATGGGGAATGTGAAGCCTGGGGGTCAGAGGAAGGAGCTGGTCTGTGAGCTAATTGTGCTTCTCCAGCACCACGCCCTCGGGGGAACATCCGTTATACTGTCTGATACAAGTAGAGCCCTGAGTTGGTATTTGTAAGATAAATAACGGGTGCCCTGGGCACCTCATTAAAACAGCTTTTGCTGAGATAGAATGTGCTGATGCATTAATTAATAGAATTAATGCCTTTTCTAGTTCCCTTTAAGACTAAGCATGTGTAGTTCAATCCGCAGTGTGAGGAAGCCCTGGAACGGCTCCTTCTAAAAGAAACTGCCAAGTGGTTTAAACTTAAATCAGCACTTCCGTTGCCAGTACTAAAAAAACCTTTTGGTTTTATTGCCAAAGTAATAAATTCTCAATTTTTAAGTCAAGTGATACAGATACGTATTAAGTAAAAAAATGAATTCCCCTGACTCCCCCACCCCAACCAGCCACACTATCTGGCGTGACCACATTCAACCATCTGGCTTCTACTTTTCTAGATATTTTGCTAAGGACACACACAAAATTTTCACAAATGCTTCATACTATATATAAAATCTGCAGATTGATTCTTTTATTCAACAATAGGCCATGGACATTATTCTCTACCTGCACATACAGATCTATGTTATTCTTCTTAATAACTGTTCAACACTCTATAATAAAATTATTCCACAGTTTACATAACTATTCAATGTTATGCATTGAATACTTTAATTCAATGACGGATGCTTAATTCTTCAACTTCTGCTATTTTAAATTCTGGGGTGTGAACATCCTTTTGTATATATGCCTGTGCACTTGGGCAAGTATTTCTTGTAAAAGAAATTATTAGAATAGGAATCACTGGGCCAGA